ATACAGTAGGGAACCGATTATCCGGAACGATCGGGACCATCGCCATTCCGGATAACTGATTTTTCCGGTTTTCTGAAAATTTACAAAAAGCCGTTCTTTTTATTGTTAAACCCAACTAAAAAAAATGTTTGGAAATAATCTTAAAAAGAAGAAAAAACGATGAAGTAATACACTAATGATTATTTCCAAAATGATGGTAAGGTAAACATCTTTCAAACGAGAAAAAAAATTCCTAAAATCTTATGAGAAAAAAAAATAAAATTAAATGGCGGGAAAATTTATCGAATTTCGTTCCGGTTTTTTGGTTTTCCGGTTTTCTGATTTCCGGATAACGGGTTCTGTACTTATAAAAAAAACTAGAATGGAGAAAAAAAGTAATAATTAAAGTAAAATATTAGCAAAAACTTACAATTAAACCTTAAAAAGTACTAAAATTCATTGGTGATTAGAATAATTATTGTAAAAAATAAGTAAATTATATTAATACTAGTGTGAATTTAGAATTTTTTTTGTCATTTTTTGTTTTAATCTTGATAAGTGTAATTTAAGTCTTTTTCTCAATAACTCCATGAGATTAGATCCAACGTTACGATAACCAACATTGTTAATTCCAATAAAATTAACAAGAGAAATTAAATGGAAAAAAACTATGAAAAATAAGTAGAGTATCAATGCTGATAAGGTAAACCATAATACAAAACAATGAATTCAAATTAAGTATAAAAAAGGCATTACCTGTAAAATAACATTGCAATAATCATTAGCCTTAATATTATTTAGTCCGACGATACCTGAAAAGAATAATTCGTATAAAGTATAATGATGAAGACAATCTTTCATACAGTGGTGCATTTTACACAAAATATGAGCATTAAGCTTGTTGCTATACAAATCAGAGTATAATGTACAAAATCATTGAAGTCATCAGAAGATTTCAAGTGATATTTCTTTTGATCAGCACATGACTTCTCTTTCGAGGAAAAAAATCATGAGTGAAGTTCAAAAAATTTGGCCCATGCAAAAAAAAAAAAAAAAAAAAAAAAAAAAAAAAAAATGTATTTCACGAATATGAAAAATGTGTAAAACATTATTGCATACAAAAAATAAGAAAAACTTAGCAGCAATATAGTCCAAGTAAAATAAAAACAATTTTCCAGGAGATAATTATTTAGATTTTAACACCTTTATAGCAAAAAAATATTTCTAAGCCAATATCTAAACATTCCAGACATAAATACAAGTTTAAAGATGGAGATTAAGTTATCTATTCATGCATTACGTAAGCCTTACCATAATGAATTCACTTTTCTTTTTATAAAATAAAAAGATGTATAATAAAGTTAAAAACTCATTTTTAGAGTAATTTTTGTAATATACTTAATTAGATATATTATTTTGGAGAATTCCTAAATTGGAATTATTGACAGGTTTCTCTCCAGTGTTACCAGGTGTCAATAACTGTTCACACCCAGATGACGTTGTAAAATCCCCTAAAAAATTTTCAAAAACCCCAAAATTTTTAACTTAATGTATAAGTATTAATAAATAGTACAAAAGTTAAATAATGCATAGAAAATGTTGCTTTAATACTTTTTATTATCAACAAATTAATTGTTTTTACATTTCAATCGTTACATTATCTTTAATTTCTACTAAAATATTTAAGATATTTTTTTCAATACTTTCTGACTCGCATATTTTTTCATAAATATTTTATTATCAACGATATAGTCTTTTTAATTCTAACATTATGCTTAAATTTCTGATAAAATATCCAACATATTTTGTCAATACTTTCTGATTTGTATATGTTTTCACTTTTAAACATTTTTAACATTGAAGGAGTAGGTACAAAATTTTGAGAACCATTACAAAATTCATATCGAAATGTTTAGGTGCCTTTAACTCAACTGTACAACATTTATAAAATGCTAACTCACTTCTTCCAGTCAACCACTCTACAAAAAAAATATAAGTTTGATTTCAAATAATGTGCTGATAATTAAATAAAAGGATGAACAATTGTACTATTAATTTACCTTTAAATTGCTTTTTGTGTTCCCAATCTTTCTTGTTCTTTTGTACGTACACCTTTTTTTTTCTTTATCCTTGGCATTATTTTTAAATCATGCACATTAAGAATTTTAAATAATTTGAATTCAAATTCACCAGGTTGATCGAACTAAGTAATAACTGACAACATTCAACAAAAGGGTTAAGTTCTAAAATTAAAACTTAATCTTTTTGTTTTGGTTTAACATATTGATTTTCATATTACCATCTCACACATTCAGTTATTAAATTTGATATAAGAACGTAACCAAAATGAAACTAGTAAAATTCACAAATAGCCCTAAAACAAACCCCTAAAAACAAATTCCCCTAAAATACCCACTGAAGATAAAAAAATCCCCCTAAATTTAGGGGGGAAACCCCTAATCTGGCAACACTGTTTCTCTCTGACAGTTAAGTAATTCTGAAAAATTTATATAAAAAAAAAAAACTATCTTAAAAATTTTATTTTCAAAAATTAGAATTTAAGTAGGTTAGTAAACATATTTACACAAAATGTAGTATTATTGTTAAATAACAATATTTTTTTTTAAAAATATAAGAAAAATATGACCAAAATTATTTTTTGAAAAGAGTAATGAAAACGAAATGTATTATTTTATATCTTTATATAACATACATAATTTTTAAATTTACTGAAAGCTCAAAAAATTTAAATTAGGTGCTATAAAAATATTCTTTGTTTATGCGAATCCCAATGCCTTATTTTGAAATCACGCATAAATACGAAAANCCATGGTTTAAACTGTCAAAAACTGTCACATGTCAAAAACCTGCCAACCCTGGTAACAATGATAATTGTTAATTAATTGATCAAAAGACTATTTATTGGAATAAACTCATTCATGTATAAATTTAATAGTAAAATATTAATTAAATAAATATTTTTAGAAAATCATACAGTGAAAATGCATTTTGTACAAGATTAGAATAAAATTAATTAGGAATGACGATATTTACCAGGCATATAAGTAGTGCTATTGTAAGCACGTGATAATTTGTCATTTACATCCAGTAGAGCTATTTCTGCCTCAGTAAAAGTTGGCTTAAGCACATACTAAATAAAAAACAATACAAAAAATTATTACTCTTAATAATAACAGTTTAAAAAATTACTATGCAGGGGTGCCAATAGTAGTGATGATAGTTTCAAAAGTAACATATGTTTTTAATGTAACAGATGTACTGTTTATTCGATACAGCCCTTAAGTTAAATTTTGTCCCAACCTTAAAGTAAGCTTCAAATATTTCATTGTGATCAATAAGGTTCCTTCTAAACAAATTAAAGAACAAAATAAATTCCCCACTTAGTGAAAAATATTGCATAAATCCTATATCTTCAAAATTCAATTTATTATTTCTTAAAGATAAGAACATATAGTAAACATGAAAAAGACTATTAAACATATAAAATTTTTATTACACTTTATAATTATTTAAAAATGTGATAAATTTTAAAACTATACAAGGATTAAATTATATAATAAATCATACAGAGATTGCAAAAATCAATGCAATTGTAATTTGCAACAAGTGCACAAATTGCAAAGATTCAATCAAGTGTAAACTATATCTTTAAAGTTCTGGTTTATCCTTTTCAAAAGAATCTATTTTTGGGCACTATTTCAGACACAATTTATTTGGGACGGTTGGATTCACAATTCAGACACAATTTGTTTGCGACATTTCTTTTTCTTTTCATTAAAAAAAAAAAAAAAGAAAGGTTTATTTTACCATGGAATACATATTGTATGTATTGTATGGGGAAAGTATCTCAATGAGACATATCTCAAAGACACATACATGCAAAGATAATTTTATCCATATATGATAACTAAAGCTAAATGTTCAAACCAAATGTAAAGCAAAATAAATATTTTCGAAAGTCACGTAACTAATATTAAAAAAAAAAAAATTATAATCTTACTGTTATATCATCTAAAGAAGAGTCAATGATTTCATAATTGTCAGGAATACAATAGAAGCGCAGAGTTTGCAAATTGAGGAACACATGATGACCAGCCTGAACACTGTGCATATAAGCGTGGGTGTTCGTCCCACGACCTGAAACACAAAATAAAATATACAAAATTCCACAATACTTAAGAACTGACCACTACAAAAATAAAATGATGAATTTATGCTGCAATATTGGGATAGGTAATGAAAAAGGTGGAATAAATGTAATTAAGGACTTCTTCTTGCTTCAGTCTAATTTTTTCTCAAAAAATATCCAACTACCTTAATAAAATGATAAAAGAGAAAAAAAAATCTTTCTGAAAATAGACTTTTTTCAAATATTAGATGCTGATGTTTTTTCTCCAATACTAATTGAAAAATAACAAGGAAAAAAAAAAAAACAAACCTTAAATGTTATGCAAAATTTTATTATCTATGGAATTTGTATTATCTAGTTCTCCATGTAAATAGTTCTAAAAAAAATTGATTACTTAAGAAAGAATTGCCTTTAACAGGGTTGCCACTCAAATCTGGAGAAAAAATTCCATGTGTTTGCCCTGTACATATTATGTACAATATATTAAGAGAAAACAACAATTACTGGGCTCTTGTGCGAGTTATTGTTGGCTAACTATATTTATTAGTTTTAATTGCTGGAAAAACAGTTGAACATACTTAAATAATGCTATTATAAATTAAATACTTCAGTATAGCAGAAATATCATGGTTAAACATCCCATAGATCACACTTTTAGTGGTCACCATTTTTTAAAAGATAAAACTAAGAAACAAAATCCCCTGTATTTTCCCAGTTTGTGAAGAATAAATCAAAATTCCCTGCATTTTCCCTGTTATTTTAGGTGATTTTTTAAATTCCCTGTATTTTCCAGGTTTTCCCTGTGGAATGGCAACCCTGTTTAATTTCATAACGCAAAGTAACTTGCAATATTGCACAAACTACAATTAAGATTTTTGCTCAATAAACTGAGCTTTACCTAAACAAATTTTTCTTTAGACTTGCATGAGAAATTTTTAAAAAAAAACAATCACTTTGTACCAATGTAAAAATAAAACATAAGCTGATAATGTGATAATATCAATTGGATGGACAACATAATTCTATTCTTTTTTAAGATATTAAAAATAATAAAACTAGATACATTTAAACAGTATCGTTTCATTTATTTATTTAAAAAAACATAAATCTCCAAATAAAGTTTTCTTTTTTTTGTCAAGAACATTGCACATACCTTGGAAATATTTCCCACATACTAAACAGGCATAAACATTGATTCGGGAGATGGAAACAGAACATAACTTCTCAAAGTCAAAGTCTAATACATTTCTGCAAAGAAATATAGATTTAGTATACAATGCATATAATAGTTATAACACCTTAACATTCTTTATGGTCATTGCGTCTCATAACACCTAAACAGTTGACAAATTTGCTTAGTAATTCATCCATAAAATAAAAGTAGAATACTTTAAAAAACAAAAATATTTTACTAAAACCAGGAATAGCAAGTCTTTGATGCAAGATGTATTTTACCATCATGTCAAAATCCCAGATTTTTTATGACATTTACTTTTTTATTTCATTTCAACTAATTGAAATTTTAAAAAAGTGCATCTTAAACCTTAATGCATCAAATTTTAGGAAAAACATGATAAAAGATATTTGACAAAAAAAAAAATGACTAGATTATTGATGAAAATATGATAATTTACTTTTACGGCTAGGTACGAAAAAGTATTTTAAATTATGCTTCAACATAGTGACCCTGATTACCAAAAATGCTATTTTGTATACAGTTACAGTTTGCATCAATATAAGTTCTCAATTATATAAAAATTTCATGATTAGACAAAATAGCAGTGGCTCTTCAATTAATTTTTAGTTTTCCTTTAATAAAAGTTTTTAATAAATATTTCAAGATATATACTGGTAACCAGGTGTATTACAAAAAATATAGATGTTGAAAGGATATCAATAACAAAATAAAATTTGTATGGTACAAATTTTTTTACACATTTTTTAAATAATTTATAATTGATTATTTAGTAAAATAATCATATAATTTCAAATGCACATAACAGCAAAATTAATTGTAAAGAAAATTTTCTAAAATAAAATCTATCGCTTGCTTAAGCGCTATATAGGAGAAAAAGTTTTTGACCTTTATTACTTTTGTTGCATCAAAAACCTGATGAAAATAAACAAGGAATTGTGTAAAAACATTTTTTATTAATTTTTTTTTTTTTTTACAAATCTGGGTAAAAGTTAGTTAAATAATATTTTCTAAGATACTCAACACTTATAAAGGTTTTGTTTCAATTAATGAATGGTATTCTCTACACCAGGAGTTATCTTTAATTCCTAATATTTTTGTATAATTCCATTTGTTCTATTGTGCTACCAATCACAACATTTAGCTTCATGTAATAGCTGATGTTAATTTTATAACTTTAGTTATTTCGCAATTAAATTATTGATGCATAGAAATTGCAACATGGATAGGAAAAAATCCAGTAGATTTTACAAAATAATATAAATTTCATAATAACTGTTGCATAATACACTAAATATTTTACATCGACATATTTTGAATTTTAGAGATTTTTAAACTTTATTACACTAGTAGCTAAAAACGAGCTGGAATATTTCCCATTTATGATTGCATTTAATTAATTTGAAATGTTTTTTTTTTCTTTAATGTTAACTCACAATTTTAAATAGTAGTGGAAAAGTAATTCATTATTCATAATTAGAAGATTTTATAATTTAAAAAGGGAGTTCTGAATAAAAATAAACTGAAAATTTTAGAACAAAGAAAAAGAAGAGTTTAAAACTGATTACTGTAATTGTTATTCATTATTTAAATATTCAAGCAAAGCAACAAATCGTGTAAAAATTACTCAATTTTTACTTACTCAAAACTCAATTTTCACTTACCCAAAAACTTACTAAATTTTAGGGAGGTTTTTGACATGCACAAAAACCAGGTAAACTGGCAAAATCTAGTAGTCTACTGGTAAATCCAGTAGAGCTGGCAGCTATGTTATAGCCAATTTTAAAATGTTAAGTTGATTTTACAAAACAAAAATTATCATTATAAAATAAAAATTAGAATGATTATTTAAACATAGTAGTTAACATATGCAGTGATAAAATATCAAAAAGAGTACCACAAAAGTATTTATGTACTAGAAAATAAAGTCAAAATGAAGATTTCTATCTAAATAAAGCTAACACATTGCTCCTTGCAATAAAATAACATGTAAATTATTAACAGGAATAATGTTTATGTCTACTACGTCAAAACATAATAAAGGAATAAAAACTTTGAAATCATTTATAATAAGTCATATTCCATATCTTTGTTTATTTATATGTTTTGTTAGTAAGATGAGCTGTTTAAAAAAATCTCCTGATACTTCCGTCCTTCTTGTCCAACTGTGAAAAACTTATGTAAAATTGAATAAATTATCCCAAGAAACTGAAGCGGTAAGATATTACCCGATTGGAAACGTCATTCACTAAAAAAATAAACGAAGATGAAATAACAGTTGACACGTGCTTCAAAAAATAGATGCCCATTTTCAAGACTTGGCAAATGGTAAATGACCAGACACTTTCATGTCAGGCAAGTCTTAAAAATTGGAACATATTTCTGAAGCACCCATTGAAATATGCTGACAATAATATCAGATTTGTTTATTTTTGAAACAAATGAAGTTTTCAATCAGCTAATAACTGATGTAAAATGTTAAATGATTAATGCAGTATTTTTTAAATTATATTTTCTGCAACAAAATAAAAAACACTGTTATTCAAGTACAAATTTTTCAAACTATAGTAGAAACAAATAATTTATTGTTATTCATTGAAGGTAAAAATTCTGAAAATTTAATTACTGGTTCCAACGTCTAATGACTAAAAGATTTCAATAACCAGTACATATTTTAGTTGGTTTTTTCACGTACCACCATTAGATTTTTTTAAAAAAAAATATATTTACAAATATTTAAAACAAAATGTTTTTTTTAAAATACAATTTTTAAAATTTTGTTAACAGATTAATAAATGTAAGTAAAGCTCTAAATAATAGAAAATTCTATGATTTTGCTCTAATAACCAGGTTTATTTTTACATAATTATAACATACATAGAACATTGTATTTAAAGTAAAGAACTCAGTAAAATTACTGAATATGCACAGTATACAAAATTGTGAAGAAAAAATGCAATTCTAAGATTGTGTGACCTTTAAAAATGTAAAAGAAAACTATTGTTTTTTTTAAAAATTTGATTCATATGATAAATTGTTGGTCCAAGGAACCATGAGTTATTATTTTATGGTAGTCTAAGTTTTTTAGTGATTTTGGACCAAAGAACCACTGCTAATATCCAGCCCTATTGTTCAGATGAAAACAAAAACATTAATCAATAAATAAATTTTTAAAATTTGATTAAACACAACAATTTTTTTTAAATAATTTATTTGGTGAAAAAGAATATAGAATATACCTGTTTATTGTATCAAGATATGGACAATTTCTACTCTTATTTTTAGGATCTTCTGAAAGTAAATAAAAAAAATGAAAGAATAGGACAATAAAAATAATTGTATCACATTAAATTAAGCATAATTCGCATTATATACAAATTTATCTTTTTGATGAGCCATTGTTTTTTAAAATTCCAGTTAGGTGCTTCAATTAATTTATCAAAGTTATACCCTTGAAAAACCAATATTAAGATCTGTTTTGTCTGAAAAGATATCCTGCATAACTTTAACAAGATATAGTGGGAATCTAGGCATATTGGAGCTAAGAGCCATTAACGAATTCATCACATCTAGTTGACCCATGATGAGAACTTCATTAAATTGGTGAGCGTAAGCTGTAAGAATAACTTTAAAGTTAATGGGCTCTATTGTAACCAACTGATGTTGCGTGTAAGAAAATGTAATCCACCACATAATTTGTTAACTACAAATTGTTTGTGGTTGCCCTCTTTTACATGGCAGACGTTACAAGAATTTCGTATCATGATCACCAAGTCTGGACAACATCCAGGCAAACGCCTGCGAAAAACTAAAAAATAATAGAAAGGGCATAACTCGCACTCAACCCTTTACATGTTTCTTTTAAAGAAACTTTTCCTATTACAAAAAAATTTGGCACCTTGGCGAGGGATATTTCCATATTGGGATCTGTCATGCCAAATAGATTTTAAACATGCAAATTTTTTAAATAAAAACACGTTATTGTTTGCTTGGAGGGGTGGCTACGAGTTATACCTTCCTCCGGCAGCAGCCCATGAGAAATTTTAAAAAACAACACAGAAAGGAATTTGCTAACACTTGGCGATTATGATATGGAAATCTTCCCCCTTGGTGAATGTAGATCGTGATATGAAAATATCCCGCTGGGACATTGTGAAGACCACCCGTAAGGTCAACTGAAAGGAAGAAAAGAATTGATGGATTTATGAAGAATTAGAATGCAAGAAGCATTATCTTTTGGAGTGTTTTAATCGTGGTATTAAATTTTTTTACAAGAGTGAGGAGAACTGAAAAAGTTGTATGTAGCTTGAAGTGCTAGTCATCAGTTGTAGAATATTTTGTGGACATTTTATTGTTTTACTGAGCGGAGTGTGAAATGACAGTGAAAGAGTGACTACGTCGTAAAAGTTATCAAAATATCATTTAACAAGACAGCATTCCAACAAAAAGATTGAAAACATAATTGCCTACTATTCTACAATTACTCTAGAACTCATATCTGATCCAAGAATTGAATTCGTACGTCAGAAAATAAAAAAAATTAAATTAAAAAAATAATTTAGAGTGGTATGCGAAATTTTCTCAATAGATAATTAAACACCTTTTGGATAGTAATCATATTTGCAGGTAGATTTTCATGCAATAACTAACGACTTTAAAGTTTAGTCATCACAGTTCTCTTAAGTTTATTTCAATAATTATCTTACTTAATATCTTTTTTAAAGGTGGATTTTGAATTTCATCCGAAGCTTTACGTTTAGCCGCGTTGTTACTGTACGCAGCCATTTTATTAACACAGTTTATTTACTCAATACGTATCCAACTTCCTATTTTTGCTTCAAAAAAGAATAATTGAAATATCTTCAAATAGTCTTTTATCAATATAAAAGACTCAAAGTAAACACTTCAACTTTAATTCAAATTGCACCGTTGGTGTATCGCGTGTATCGTTTCACTATGGACCATTGAGGGTGACCACTAAAATAAGCCAGCGAAAGGACCAAGGATCTGCAGTATTGATCCTCATTAAACTGCTCTCCCATAAAGAGCTCTACTTAGTGTCAACATCGCGCTTCTAAAGCTGGGTCCTATCCCCTCTGCAGAGGGAATCCCAGATAGCAAAATAAGGTTTATTTCACTCAACAAAAACCTTTTAATGTAAACCAAAATAGGTTTGTAATACGGTACACGTGTAAACCTTCTAACCTTAAAACGAGATCTGTGACAATCTTCTCTATTCTACGCACATTACCTTAATCCAAAACCTTGGAACACAACCCTCTATATGAAAACCTTAAATCGAGGTTGACTAAGGGTTTTCAAGCGTGAACAAATCCTTTAATAAAGCTAGTCCCAAGGTGAAAATAATCTTAAATCTAGGCAATCTTGAGGNTAAATAAAAAGTCAAAACTGTCTAGCTGTCTAAATTAGAGAAATAATAGTGCTTTATTACATACTCGAATTTCTCTTAGTAGCTTCAGAAAATTATGAACACCCCCCTTGAAAAAATTCTGCGTACGCCACTGTCTGCAGTATTGATCCTCATTAAACTGCTCTACCATAAAGAGCTCCACTTAGTGTCAACATCGGACTTCTAAAGCGGGGGTCCTATCCCCTCTGCAGAGGGAATCCCAGATAGCAAAATAAGGTTTATTTCACTCAACAAAAAACTTTTAATGTAAGCCAAAATAGGTTTGTAATACGGTATACGTGTAAACCTTCTAACCCTAAAACGAGATCTGTGACAATTTTCTCTATTCTACGCACGTTACCTTAATCCAAAACCTTGGAACTCAACCCTCTATATAAAAATCTTAAATCGAGGTTGACTAACGGTTTTCAAGTTTGAACAAATCCTTTAATAAAACTAGTCCCAAGGTGAAAATAATCTTAAATCTAGGCAATTATGAGGTTTCTTTTCGCAATGTCTTGTATGCGCAGCTAAAATCCACCTTGTCATGACATTTAATGGACTATGCAATTTGATCCTATCGTTAGCGTGACGTCATCATAGACCTAAGTGACAATACTTGTCATAAAAGCTTTAAAAAATAATTTTTAATCCTTTTAGAATGAAAGGTTTGGAACTGTAATATTTTTGCTTTATTGAAAAAAGGTTTTTTAGTGCAATAATTTAGTGACAACAAAAAGAAATTTTCGACAGTTGTCGTAAGGTTACATGCTTTCTGGGAGTGGTATAGAATTAAAATTTCGTATGGAGTTTAGGTATAGAGTATAGAATTAAAATTTCGAGGTGCAAACTTTTTATTTTAATGTTATTTATTTATTATACAGTATATTTTTACATATTTTGCCATTTTTTCATTAAAATAATACCTACTTTTGATTGTCATTTTTTAAAAAAACTTTTCTTTTCTGTTTACTCAGTATTTTTGTCTGTCCTTTCGAATCTATTATAATTCCAGAATCCTTACTGTTGAGGTTCTGAAATCGGAAATCAATCCCACTCTGCAATTGTAGTCCCCGATTTTAAAAATTAGTTTAGAAATTTTTATTATTGTATGTAATTCTGCATAATTATTGTATTATTGCATAATTCTTGTATAATTCTGCATAATTATTGCATAATTATTGTATTGTAAAGCTATCTACGTGAATGACTTTTGGATCGGTGCTACGGCACTGAAAAAATATTTTTAAAGTTATCTGAAACCATGATTTTATTTTGTTTATAGTTGTAGTTTTAAGACATATTTACCCAGAGCTAAATTTAAAATCAAAGGTAATGTTATTTTATTTTATAACTGTTATTGAACAGTTGACCCAATTTTGAGGGTACAATTACCAATGTTTAACTCCATATCGTTGTAATTTTGAACCCAATCCAGAAGACAAGGCAACGCCAAGATCAAGTAATGTAAAAAATTTGTTTTGATGGAGGACTTTTCATGTAACTGACCCCCGTTTGTGGAACGTGGAATGTAAAACCATGAAAAATTACATAGGTTAGTCTAACTCTAACGGCAAGGAAACTAACCCATGATCCGTCTGCCACTTTTACGTTAGCTCCGTGGTCGGTGCTAGCTGACTGCAGAATTGTTATCGATCAACGATTTTTGGAATTCGAACCTGGGTCACCTAACTGAAAGGCGAGTGTTCCACCCAATGAGCTACCATAGCTCAATCAAAAGTAATTTTATTGTATAAAGCCGTCGTTGAATAGCAGACTCACTTTCAAGTTAACAATTACCAATGTTCAACTCCGTAGCATAAAAAGAAAACGAGAAAACAATTGATATAAACCATAGAAAGCAATTTTATTTATATTTTATAACCGTCGTTGAACAATCGATCAATTTTTGGGTTTGTGACTACTAATGTTCAACTTCGTAGCCTTGTAATTTTGAACCCAGCCCAGAAAACAAGGGAACTCCTGGATCAAGTATTGGAAGTAATTTGCCCTCGTGGAGGACTTTTTGATGGAGCCAACCCGCATTTGCGTTACAAGGAAAGGAAGACCACGAGAACAACCCACGGTTAGCCTGACGGCAAGGGGACTCTAATCCATGATCCGTCTTCCACTGAAGATATTTCACGTCAGCACTGTGGTCGGTGAAAGCCGGATGCGGAATTCGTATCGACCAGCTATTGCCGGTATCGAATCTCTGTTCAACTCATTGGAAGGCGAACGCTCTATCCTTTGTGCCATAGCGGCTCGAATCTTACTAATTGAAATAAAGAAAATAAGTTATTTATTAAAAAGCAGAATCAATGGAGAAAATGTATCGATTCATTAAGGAGAATCATAAACAAATCGCTGTATGTTATTGACGCCAATAGTGATGAATTAATTTTGATAATTAATACTGCAGATATTATGATAATTGGCGAGGTTTTCAATAGGTACGAAATGTACTGAATTGGGTGAGTGACTGAATGTAAACAATATATTGTTATAACAAGCTTCTTAAGACCTGAAGAAATGTAAAAAAACTTACGGTAAAAAACTTACCTCGATTTATGTTTTATATATATATANAATTAGTTATCCTAATATACAAATAGAAATTTATCAATTCATATTCAAATGTATCAAATATATTCAAGGAAAATTAGAAACATCTATGAAAAGACATTAGAAGATTAAGTTTTGAATTTAATGTATATATATATATATATATATATGAGTTGATGTATGAACAAGCTTGATATTCTATGAAATTTTATTATTTTGATTTGTGTTGAAATTTGGCGAAATTTTACCATTCATAAGAGTTTTCTGTAATTCTAGAAGATCGTTAGCAGTAAATAATTTGGAGAAAATTAATATCACAGCAACGTCATCCTTTATTTAGCTAGATTTGTGAAAAATATCATTGTTCGTTATTTTTTGAGTAGCATCATAGCATGCTTGCGGAGTCTTCCGAATTCATTTGTTGTTTGTTTCGTTGAAAGTTTAAATGAAAGAACGTGCTTTATTGTAAACACTACAAGTATAATAAAATTGAAAGGCGGCGTTTTTCAAGCTAAAATAAGTAGTATACAGGTAGGTGTAAAATAAGTAGTAACCAGAACTTTTTGCGACGAACTTAAACTCCTAGCGCCATCTGTATTTAGCTTTATACGGTTATCCATCCATAAGTACTACTGTATTGTAGTAATATGTTTTCACGATCTACATCCTAGTAGATAAGTACCGGAGATAATTACTTGATTGTGGATATAATAAGATGGCCCTCGAGCAACGCCATCTTGCCAAATGAAATGGATTACAGTTAATCTTTATTTTCATGACGTGAGCCTGTAAGAAATTGTTATGCTTAATCTACTAACGTAAAGCTATCGTTACGGGCAATAAATAAAAAATAGAAACATTTTATCTTTTTTAATTGAGTCAGTATATACACCGAAGAGCCATTACATTATGACCATTCTGTTAATAACATGTAGGACCACCTTTAGCCCTCAAAACTGCTAGCACCCGCAGTGGCATTGATTTCACAAGGAGCTGATAGGTAGCCAGAGGTATCTGGTACCAAGCGCTCACCAACTGATCCTGCTATTCCCTCATATTGCTAGGGGGCAGCGTGGCAGAACTAATTTGGTTTTCCAAGTAGGACCACAAATGCTCTATTGGATTACGGTCAGGTGAATTAGGGGGCCAAGACATGACTTGAAAGTCACTGGAATGTTCCTCGACGATTCGACATTTATGACATGGTGCATTATCCTGTTTGTAAACACCATCCCCCGCAGGAAAAACTGTTGCCATGAATGGGTGGACCTGGTCTGCAACTATGTTTAAGTAGCTTACAGACGTCAGGGATTGTTCTATGAGGATTATGGGTCCTAATGTGCCCCATGAAAACATCGTTCTTGGGCGAGAAACCATGAAAACCTGGGCGAGCCCATTGTTATAGATGAAGGATGGTCATAATGTAATGGCTCTTCTGTTTATATTTGTCTTTCAGTTGATAATAGCCGTGGAGTTGATTATTAAAATGTTCAAATCCAACTTCGACTTCGGACTTTCCCTGAGAGCTTCACCAAATTAAGGAGTAGTATTAATTGTTACAATAATGTTTTTTCATTTTTTTCGTTTCAACTTAATTAATGATATGAATTTAACTGATAATTTTATTTCTATTCTAACATTCAAACGCTATTAAAAAACCTCTATCTTTAGCTTCCATCTATTCTATCTACTCTAATAAAAATAGAGTAGATAAGCAGATTTATATAAACTTTTCTTTCTGGTTACATGTGATGTAAATACATCTGATCTCATATAGAGTTTTACCGTCAGTACAGAATTTATTAAGAGTAGAAAATATTGAAAAAAAATAAATAAATAAAAATGCAATACTTTTTGAAGCATTGACTAAGATAAAATA